GAGAGAGAGAGAGAGAGAGAGAGAGAGAGAGAGAGAGAGAGAAAGGAAAGAAAGAGAAGAAGGAGCAGCTTAAGCCTGAGAGAGTGCTGTAGAGGGCAGAGGGATGTGGCAAGCCCAGAAACCTGTGGGCAGAGCTGGGTGGACAGCCTGCTCTTGTGACCTCCTGGGAAATTCTTAGAGCAGATTTGGAGCTCTGGAGGCGCCGTTGTTTTCCTTTCAGTCCACTCCAACCAGGACTTCGGATGATGCTCCTAAACAGGCATCGCTGGGGGGTAAAGTGGGCCTCTGAGTGGGTAGGAAATTGTGATCAAATGTGGTAACAAGCACAACTTTCAGTTTTCTGTCCCTGGACTAGCGATTAGGGAAGTTCCCGGCCTGTGATCACTGTGTCGGAGCTACATATAGTGAAGAGAAACCCAGAGGGAACTGACCCTGAGAAGGAGACAGAAAGAAGGAAGCTGCCTGGGGAAGCTTGGTGGTCCTTATGTTGCATGGAGGAGAATTTCGAGTGTGAATGGAAGGGCCTGCTGGGACTGCTGAGCCCACTCCAGCCCGGCCCCATGGGACTTCTGGTGGCCATCTACAGAACCCAATTGATGTCCGCATCCTCTCATCCTCTACCTGACTCCCTGAGTCTAAAAGAGCTCAGAAGTGACAGTGGCTTGCACTTCAGTTGGGTGGGTGACAGACACTTGTAGGGGGGTTCTGACCAGGAGAGGGACCCCACAGATTTGCATCCTCAGAGCCTGGGGATAAGTTGCCAAGATGACTCACCTAGTTAGTGGCAGAACTAAAACCCTAGTCTCCAGATGGAGGCTCAGCCCTCCCTGCCACGCCACGGCAGCTTAGTTTGTGGAGCTACGAAGAGGGTGTGGGGTTGTTTTGCCCATCAGCTTAGAGGAAAGGGAAACGAAGACTGACCCCCTGTGCTCACACTCTGATCCAGTAGAGAGGGGACCTGAGAACCTTTTCCCCCCAGCAGTCTGCCCAGGCTACTGCTCTTGGCCAGTGCCCAAGGTGGAGGAGCCATGAGCCTTGGAAACAGGAAACCTAGTTCTAGCTCCAGCTTGGCCACTGCCAGCTGTGTGTGTGTGTCCTTAGGCCATTGTCTTTTATCAGTCACTGGCAAGGTTGGAACCTTTATAACCTTGCTGGGCTCTTGGAAGGCCAGAGGCAAATGTGTTCTGACAACTGATAAAGGCTTCTGCAGTGAGGGAGTTAGTCAGGAGAAGTTCCAGGAGGAAGAGCATCGTGCTGACCAGAAGAGCCAGTTCCTTTCTCCCATTGCCAGGATTTGTTTGGTGTCTCTCCAGGCTGTGTGATGAGCTGAGCTCCACGGCACCAGCCTAGAGCAAAGGGGGCCTTTGACTGTTCTTGGGACAACTCCTTCTACCAGAGCAATTTTTAAGAAAATCATCTTGGCAGGAAGGAGTTGGACCTAGCCCACTATCATTGCTTTATAAACTTGCTTTTATAAACTTGAGAGGCCAGAGATGACCGACACAAGGTAGAAATATCCTGGGTCATTTAAACAGAGAGCAGTGTCTTCCTTCTGTGGCCCAGATGGTCTTGACTTCCCAGTTGTTAAGGGTGTCATTTCCTCTTGCTTCTAAAATAATAACAGTCTGAGCTCCCTCCCACAAATGCAAGAAGTCCATCTGTTCTCGGGTTTCCGTCCCAGAGCTGTGCTGGTGGGCTTGTACCTACCAGTTTATCATTTACAACTGCTTCCAGAAGTAGACTCTCAGAGCATCCATTGTTTCACCCCAGTCTGCAAACCTTCCTGAGGGCCTGGTGGTCTCTGTGGTGGGAGAGGCCAGCTAA